ATTCTCTCAATTCGATTTATTGGCATGAAATTGGTATATTTATATTTTATATTTGCAGTGATGACAGTAAATAATATTTGACTAGATATTTTTCAAGACACTTCTATACAGCTTAAAGTGAGATTTAAAGGCTTAACTAGGTTAATTAAGTTAACTAGGCAGGTTAGGGTAATTAGGCAAGTTATTGTATAATGATGGTTTGTTCTGTAGACTTATCGAAAAAAAAATTGCTTAAAGGGGCTAATAATTTTAACCTTAAATTTTATTTTGGTTATATTAATATTAATTATTTATATTATCACACATACTGTGAAAATTTCCTTGCCCTGTTAAACATCTTTTGGCAAATATTTATAAAAGACAAAAAAAAAATCAAAGGGGGGCTAATAATTCTGACTTCAACTGTATGTTTTATATATATATATATATATATATATATATATATATATATATATATATATATATATATATATATATATATATATATATATATATATATATATATATATATATATATATATATATATATATATATATATATATATATATATATATATATATATATATATATATATATATATTTATATATATATATATATATATATATATATATATATATATATATATATATATATATATATATATATATATATATATATATACATGTGGAGATATATATCCTCTATGATTTTGTTTTTATCTGTAACAAAAATATAAATCCACATCTCTTTGTCTCTTTACCCTAGGATACATCATGTTACTTATTAATTCTCAGTATTAGTATTCATATAGATACACCCTTACATACTCACTCACAAATCTAAATAAATAAATAAATATATATATAAATATATAAATATAAATAAATATATACATATATATATATATATATATATATATATATATATATATATATATATATATATATATATATATATATATATATATATATATATATATATATATATATATATATATATATATATATATATATATATATATATATATATAACATTTTATTTTATTTTTTTGCACACTTTAGATACAGCATACTTTTTCTTTATAAAATGTGTTAAAGACATGGGAGAATAAAAACATCACAGCATCTTCATAAGATACTAGTCATAAAACAAACACTAGATGGCACTGTAGACTTAAAAACAGCATTCACATTTTGTTTGTAACTTTAAAGAGCCGTGTTCATGTGTTTTCAAAGCAGAAAACAGTTTGAATAAAATATAATAGCATATAATAGAGGGTTTCTTTGAATCACGTATGCAAACAACAACAACAGCATCATTACTATTATTAATATTACTATTAGAAGATCATTATTTTTGTGTATTTAAGAATAATTATAAATGACATTTGACATTAATAATAATGTCAATATTAGAAGATGATTATAATTTGATTTTTTTATTTTAAGAAAAAATATAACAGACATTTCATAATAATAATAATATTATTACTGTTATTAATATTAAAAGATCAGAAATCTAGTGTTTTGGCAATAAGTATAATATAACAACAACAACAATAACTACTATTAATAATATTTAAAATATTATACTTTCTGTGTATTTGTTTTTGGTGTATTAGTAGAATAAATATAGTTTACATTTAATGATAATAATAATAATAATTAAAAATGTTATTATTAAGAACATGATTATTATGATAGTGAAATTAGAATAAATATATTTTACACTTAACAATTATTAATATATTTATAATAATAATAACAATAGCTACTATTAATAATAATTACAAATTATTATAATTTCAGAGTATTTGAGAATAAGAGATTATTATAATTTTAGTGATTTGGTGTTTTAGTAGAATAAATATAGTTTACATTTGATAATAATAATGATAACAATGATAATACTAATTACTATTTTAATATAAAGAACATGATTATAATGATAGTGACATTAGTATAAATATAATTAACATTTGGTATTTGATAATGTTATTTAAATATAATTAATATTATATTTATAATAATAATAATAATATTAATATGAATAATAATAATAACAATAATATTGTTGTTGTTATTATTATTTTTATTTACAACAACAAAATAATAATAATAATAACTGTTATTATTATTATTAAGAATATGATGATAATTTTAGTAAAATTAGAATAAATATAATTTACATTTGGTATTTTAATAATATTTTATTTAATAATAATTCTAATATTAGTAAAACTAATAATATTATTTACAACTGATTTCGATAATAATATTAATAATATCATTCCTATTTTAATATAAAGATTTATTCAATAATAATTATATATTATAATTATTGTAAATATTATTATTAATATTAATAATAACAACAATAACAAGTCTTTAACCATAGTGAAATCACTGCAACACACAGTCTCAAGTGCTTCATTGCTTTAATCTCAATTGACTATGAATTCCACAGTAACACGTCACTCTGGATCTCTTGGAATAAAGCTCCACATCACCTCACAGATGATATCAAAACATCTCATTATTAAAGAATCTGTGGAGGAGTAACAACTCCAACATCCTCAAGGTCTAATCGGCATCGCTATGGTAACTCCAGAGCTTACTGTCACAGACATCCATCATTACGCCTTCAAAGACGCAAACCTTCCGCTGACACTCAGGCGACTCCATTCTCCAAACTCTGCCCTTTATTTCAAGGTTAATTGAGTGATCAAAGTGAGACTCGTTTATCTTTAATGAACATCGGCCTGAATCATACCAGAAGAGAGAAGGTGGCTCAATTAAGAGAATAATTCATGCAAAATTCTATATTCTATTATTTATTCGGCCGACTTCTGGCAGCGTCTTTAAAGGACACAATCGCACCACAAAAAAAGTTCACACCAGCGCTGATCCTATTAACTCAAAATAAAATCATTCCAGATGATTTATTTAGCTTGTCTTGAAACATGTGTACTGTAAATATTCAATGAAATGATTAAACATTAAATGTAAATGATTAATACAAATGGCAAATACAATGTTAAAAAAGATCTAATAAAACTATGAAACCAGTTAATATTAGGAAGACGATCATCATTTTAGTGTGTTTAAGAATAAATACAACTGACATTTGATAATAATAATAATAATTAAATCATTAAACAATCATTACCATTATTAATATTAAGATATTATGTTTATTGAATATATAAGTCAGAATTATTAGCTCCCTGTTTATTTTTCCCCCCTTTTCTGTTCCAACAGAGAGAAAATAAATGAAGGAATAATACAGTAAAACAAAATTTCAAGGCAAAGCTGCAAGTGCTGTCAGACCCAAAGATCGGCTAAATGGATTCAAAAATGATCAAACTCAACTGTTTAACTTTAGTGGAGCTGTAAAGTAAGCCTATTTTTTAGTAAAAATAGAAACTCAAATGATCACAGAACCATTTTAAGTCCAAATCTAACTAAACTGTAACTCTTTATTCACTCATAATCATTACTTTCAACAATCTGTGTGAGGAAAAAAAACACATCTGCTGTGAATGGAAACGGTTGCAAATACCTAGATAAAGGGACTAAGCTGAAGGAAAATGAATGAATAATACAATATAATAAAGTTTCAAGTTAAATAAATCATCTTAGTTTTTAGAATATTAAAATATTTTAAAGGCAAAAGAACAATTTGTTATAAATCACTGGACCTTTTTAATAGATTGTTCATCTTTAATTGTCTATTCTCACCACTTTTATTCAATTGTCATGATTTAACCATAACCTTAATTTTATTTTAATCAACTTTTTTTTTTCTTTTTGAGCGAGAAGCTAATCGTCTTATCCTGTTTAATGACCTCTGCTAAGCTAAGCTAATAGTGCTGCAGTCAGACCCACAGATCGGCGAAATACATTTAAAAATGATCAAACTCAACTGTTTAACTTTAGCGGAGCTGTAAAACGAGCCTATTTGGATTAAAAATAAAAACTCAAATGACCACAGAATCATTTTAAGTCCAAATCTAACTAAAATGTACCTCTTTATTCACTCATAATCATTACTTTCAACAATCTGTTGTGTACAGTATAACAAAGTTGAATAAATAATCTTAGTTTTAGAATATTAAAATATTTTAAAAGCAAAAGAACAATTAGGTAATAAAACACTGGCACTTTTTAATAGATTGTTCAATCAATTTTCATGATTTAACCATAACCCGAATTTTCTTTAAATTGACCTGGGGACTAATTTCAGCTGCTGTATAATATCATAAAACTATCTGCAGCCTTTTTTGAATTTTTGGAGCGAGATGCTAATGGTCTAATCCAATTCAATTATCTATGCTAAGTTAAGCTAAAAGGTATTAGCTTACTGGACCTTTTTGATAGATTGTTAATTATTATTGTCTATTCTTGACACTTTTATTACATTTTTATGATTTAAAATAGCCTTAATTTTCTTTTAATCAGCTTTTTTTTTTTTTTGGAGCGAGACGCTAATGGTCTAATCCAATTCAATGATCTATGCTAAGCTAAGCTAAAAGTGATTAGCTTACTGGACCTTTTTGATAGATTGTTCATTATTACTGTCTATTCTTGACACTTTTATTAAATTTTCATGATTGTTTTGTTTTTTTGGAGCGAGACGCTAATGGTCTAATCTAATTCAATGATCTATGCTAAGCTAAGCTAATAGTGCTGCAGTCAGACCCACAGATCGGCTAAATACATTTAAAAACGATCAAACTCAACTGTTT